TGCATCTCCGCTTGTACCCAACAAGCACCCCTCATCCCAAATCTCTCGGAGGTTTCCCTTCAACCCTTCTGGTTTCGGTTTCCCGTCAAAATCGACCTAAACACATGATTAGAGTTTGGCCCAGTTATAGAATGTATATTTTAGTGGTTGCTTCACTTTGAGTCAATGGTAAAATGTAGAATGTATCCGAAGTCTACCCCAGAAAAGGGTACCATCTCCAAAAAAACGCCTCACGCACACCGGGTCGGTTTCTCCGTTGATTTCCCTGCCGCCTGCTCCGCCTGCGCGGTGGCTAAGAACTGGGCCTCCTCCTCGTCGATCTCCTCGGAAATGTTCGGAAGAATCTCTGTGCGATCGCGGCAGAGGAAGCGTTTGGTTCGCCTTCAGCTCATAGGTGTCCTTTTTGGAAAATAGATGGCCCTGGTAGATGATTGAACCAGGAAACCAGGGCCCTCTATTTTTAAGCAAACCAACCAAAAAAGGACACCTATGCTTCATCAGTGTTTGCCAACACAACAGAGTCGACTCAGAAAGTTCAAGGCCTTTGTCTTCATGGTTGTCTAGGGGTAGCTTCCATTTCCATTCTTTCCAGGGATCCTTTCCAGAAAACAACCAAAAACCCTGGGAAACAGCTGGTGTTTGAAAGGAACGATGGTTGAAAAGAATGGACAAGGTATCAACCCCTGGTTGGTGTTCAGCAGTTTTGGCCAAACACAGAGTCTGCTCCAAAAAGCCCCTGCATCGCCGGGGCTTGTTCCCCCCCAAAGGCCTGACGACGCTTCCGGTGGAGATTGTTGCCCAAGACTCCATGAGTTTCAGCGAGCGGGGATGAAGGACCAGCAAACAAAAATTAGGAACCGGTGCTGAACGCAAGGCTCCGCTCATTTCCCCTTTGCACATCCCCCTTGCTCCCGTTTTTGGGTTGTTTGGGCGTCTTCAAGCCCTTAGGCTGCAGCCTATGGCTAGGCGCGCCCTTTTTTGGGAGCCATGGGGAGCACGGGAACTCCTTTTAGCTTGGCCAAACGGCAATGTCCAAAACCGCGAGGGAACTCACCTGGGAACCCCGGCCTCCATTTGCTCCGGGCACCAGGAAAACATGAGCACATATTTCAAGTTGTGATAGATTCCCGTTAAAACCAACAGGCAAAAAACAATACGCTTAAACAAATGGAAGCCGGAATTGGGATCGAAAATTCAGCGGGATCGATCGATCGATCGATCCTTCTGGAGTCTTGCCAGCTCCGCCTCCTTCATCTCCTGCTCTTCCTGAGTGACCGAGGAACGTGGAGGCTTCAAGAAAACTCGAGCTCGACTCACTTCCTGGGTGAATCAGCCCAAAGTAGGCGGAACTTCATATTTTCACCATTAAATCAAGTCCATGAACTCAGGAAGTGACTCTACAAGATTGAGTGGATTCAGGAGCTGTTCACTTCTACTGTGTCATGGTTATGGGCTTACCTTTTTGTTTTTGGACGTGAGTCAAACATATGGCCCCTTGGACCACGGTGCCGCCTTTTTACGGCCTACCATGTTTGGGCCCCCGGCTTTGACTCTGAAATCACCCGTTGCGGGGCATCCCCCCGTTGCGGATCGGTCATGAAAGTCACAGATTGAGAACCTAGAACCATTAAAGCCACCCCAAAAAGAGCCCTCCCAAAAGAAACAGCAAAAGGGCATCGTGAAGCTCATGCTTCGCCCGCACAAATCGCAGTTGGTGGGAGGTCATCTAGATCAGTCTCTCTTGCAACGGCGTAAGGGAGAAAGGAGGGTAGGTCAGCGATTGGTCCAGGACCAAAGTGCTCTGATTGTACATATTGTACTTGTAGCGGCTAAAGAGCAAAAGGCTCAACACAGCTGACTACCAAAAGAACAAAAACAAGTCCCCCTCAAATCGGCCTCGTGAGAAGGGAACGGATTCTTTCCGAGGTACCGATAGCGGCTGGGCCATTTCCGAGGCTTTCACTTTGGGCAAAGCCTCACTTCCCTCTGTGAACCCGGATTCGATTCCTTATATGCGCCCCATCACCCAAACAAGAACCTCGCAGGTCAATGGCAGCCAGAAGGCCCATGCTTCCTTCCCCCCCTCCCCCAAACAGAATAACGTGGAACCTGACAGGGTGTCCCTCCAAGGGGGAGGGGGGGTCCCGCAGCGGATTTTTGACACACCTAACCTCTAACCTAACCTCCAACCCTAACCTCTAACCCTAACCTCTAACCCTAACCTCTAACCCTAACCTCTAACCCTAACCTCTAACCCTAACCTCTAACTCCAACCTCTAACCCCAACCTCTAACCCTAACCGCAAACAATGACCACTAACTAACCTCTAACCCTAACCTCTAACCCTAACCTCTAACCCTAACCTCTAACCCTAACCTCTAACCCTAACCTCTAACCCTAACATCTAACCCTAACCTCTAACCTTAACCTCTAACCGTGAGGATGGATGATGATGATGAAAGACTACGGGAAGATGACGGAAGACTACGGGAAGATGACGGGAAGCTGACAGAAGACTACGGGAAGATGACGGAAGACTGCGGGAGACGACGGGAGACAAGGAGAAGATGACGGAAAGACTACGGGAAGCTGCCGGGAAGCTGCCGGAAGAGTGCGGGAAGATGCCGGAAGACTACGGGAAGATGACGGAAGACTACGGGAAGCTGACGCTACGGGAAGATGACGGAAGACTACGGGAAGATGACGGAACACTACGGGAATTGACGGAAAGATGACGGAAGACTACGGGAAGACAACGGAAGACTGCGGGAAGATGACGGAAGACTACGGGAAGATGACGGAAGACTACGGGAAGCTGACGGGAAGATGACGGAAGACTACGGGAAGACAACGGAAGACTGCGGGAAGATGACGGAAGACTACGGGAAGATGACGGAAGAGTACGGGAAGATGACAGAAGACTGCGGGAAGATGACGGAAGACTACGGCAAGATGACGGAAGACTACGGGAAGATGACGGGAAGATGACGGAAGACTACCGAAAGATGACCCTCTCCAACCCTAACCTCTAACCCTAATCTCTAACCCTAACCTCTAACCCTAACCTCTAACCCTAACTTCTAACCCTAACCTCTAACCCTAACCTCTAACCTCTAACCCTCACCTCTAACCCTAACATCTAACCCTAACCTCTAACCTTAACCTCTAACCGTGAGGATGGATGATGATGATGAAAGACTACGGGAAGATGACGGAAGACTACGGGAAGATGACGGGGAGCTGACAGAAGACTACGGGAAGATGACGAAGACTGCGGCAGACGACGGAAGACAAGGAGAAGATGACGGAAGACTATGGGAAGCTGCCGGGACGGTGACGGAAGAGTGCGGGAAGATGACGGAAGACTACGGGAAGATGACGGAAGACTACAAGACTATGGGAAGATGACGGAAGCTGACGGAAGACTACGGGAAGATGACGTGAAGCTGACGGAAGACTGCGGGAAGATGATGGAAGACTACGGGAAGATGACGGAAGACTACGGGAAGACTACGGGAAGATGACGGGAAGCTGACAGAAGACTGCGGGAAGATGACGGAAGACTACGGGAAGACTACGGAAGACTACGGGAAAGATGACGGAAGACTACGGGAAGATGACGGAAGACTACGGGAAGCTGATGGGAAGATGACGGATGACAGCAGACTACGGGGAGATGACGGAAAAGAATTACGGGAAGATGAAGATGATGATGATGATGCTGATGATGCTGCTGAGGATGATGAAGATGATGATGATGATTATGATGATGCTGATGCTGATGATGACAATGATGATGATGATGATGATGATGATGATGATGATGATGATGATGGTGATGCCGATGTGACGCCGCTGATGATGATGACGATGATGATGATGATGGTGACGATGATGATCATGATCAGGAGGATGATGAGGATGATGATCTGCAAGCTGATGAGGATGAGGATGACGATGGTGCTGATGCTGGATGATGAGGCTGAGGATGATGATGCTACTGAGGCTGAGGATGATGATGATAATGAGGATGATGATGGATGATGATGACGACATGGTGGATGATGACGATGATGATGATGCATCGTCCTCATTCACAAGCATCAGCAGCATCATCGTCATCCTTTCCCTTTCTATTTATCTTCATTTCCTCATCATCATTATCATCAGCGGCGCCATCATCGGCCTCGCCATCCAGCATCATCATCAGCCTCATCATCCCCGATGAAGCCAGACGTTGGAGAAAATCCGGCCCTTGTTGTCGCTGAGAAAGCCCGGCTCTTCTCCGTCCCAGACCAAAAAGCAGCTCCCGCATCCCCAGCATGCCAGGCATCACCCCAGACACCTGCAGGATGATGCCGGTGAAGCGGGGGATGCAAAAGCTGCCTTTTTTCCCGACATTCGAAGACCAAAGGCAGTTCCTGCATCCCCAGCATGCAAAACATCACCCCGGGCACCCGCAGGATGATGCTGGTGAAGCGGGGGATGCAAAAGCTGCCTTTTTTCCCGACATTTGAAGACCAAAAAGGCAGCTCCTGCATCCCCAGCATGCAAAGCATCACCCCGGGCACCTGCAGGATGATGCTGGTGAAGCTGGGGATGCAAAAGCTGCCTTTTTCTACAACGATGGAAGACCAAAAAGGCAGCCCCCGCATCCCCAGCATGCAAAGCATCGCCCCAGGCACCTGCACTCTTAAGACCTTGGCGCCAATCCTGCTGAGAGACGGAGAAGGGCCAGAGTTTCTCCAACGTGTGTGATGCTGTTACGGGGGTCGGCGGCATCAGGCGTCAGCCTGCTAAATCCGGCTACGCCTCCTTGGGTAGCATGTCGCTGCTAGGCAATTAGCCTGCTAGCTTTAGCTAGAGGGGGTGCACCCTGGTGCCGCCGACCCTCGCCACTTGGTCGTGATGCGCTGCCTAAATCCGGCACCTCTGCATCACCAGCTCGGGCTTGCGGTTTAGCGGGGCTTGGTCTGCATCATCAAGACTTCCTTCCAAAAAGCCCAACCCAAAAAGCACTGTTTTTTAGAAGGTATCGGAGGGATATAAGCGAGGCTCATTTTCGCGCATTTTGGCGCCAAGCGCTGCCTGGCATGCCGGCGATGCTGGGTCCTCGCTCTACAAAACGCTGTAAATACCGTCAAAAACTGCTGTGCTGAGCGATGGGCTGTTGTTCTGTCATAGGTGTCCTTTTAGGGGAAATAGACGGCCCTGGTAGATGATTAAAGCACCAGGTAAACCAGGGCCATCTATTTTTCTACCAAAAGAACCAAAAAGGACACCTATGTGTTCTGTCCGTTTTGCTTTTGCTGTGGCTGGCTCGCGCTGCGCGGTCCTTGCTTTTTTTCGCGTTGGTTTTCGGGCCTTCTGGCGCGCGCGCGCGCGACCCCAGCCACAAAACACTGCTATTTACATTGTTTTGTTGCATTTGCGCTTCCGGGCTGGCTTGCGGGCTGCTCTTTTTGGGCTGCTTTTTTTTGGTCCTCTGGCGCGCGCGCGCGCGCGACCCCATGTCAGCCTTCTCGGTTGGGGCCCGGCTGGGGCCCAGAAAGCCGGCATCCCCGGCATTATCTGGGGTTAAGGTGGGCAACATGCATAACCAAACCAGCCATATCATAGCAGTCATAGCACAGAATATGTTTCTCATACAAAAAGCATGACATGACATGGAATAACTTCAAAGAGGCGTAGCCGGCTAGAGGCCGCAGGCCCAGAAAATTCTACTCCCTCCCACAAGCACATTTTACATGTTTTCGACTGTTCCCCTTGGGTTGTCAAAGTCAGAAACTGGGGTACTTGGGTCGTCAAGCCACTTGGCAAGTAGGCTTTTTTTTTATAGCCATACTTAATCATAGCAACCCACCAAGCTTGAACATTCAATTTAGTGGATAACAGCTCACTTCCTGAGTGGATTGCTCAGAAAAGTCTGAACTTGTTGTTTACCACTAAAATCTGGGTCCTCCAGTAGAGAGGTTAGAATAAGGGTACCTTTTTTTTCTGTAGTCTAATTTAGAATTTTAGAAGGGAAACCCTCCCCAAAAAAGGGTGAAAGGGCACTACTGGGGGACCCAGAAAATGGCCCAAGCTCAAAAAGTTCAACGTCCAGGAACTCGGGAAGTGAGGCGGGTGGCTTCTCCCTGCCCCATATCCGTCCCAGGGGCGCGCGGGATGTCATGGCGCTGCCGGATCACGTCCCACAGCCCTTGACCTGCGGCATCCTGGTCGAGGGCATAGACGGAATCGACCCAAAAGCTGAGTCGAAACTCGGTTGCTTTCTGCTCTCCCGCTAAAAGTGAATAATCTCAAACTTTCGGAGACTTTGGCCCAGTGGGTTGCGATGAAACACAGGGCATGGTGTTGGTGGATGCTGAAGGAAGCCCCTTGCAAGAAGGGAAAAAGGGGGAGGGGTACCCTTTTTGGGTTTGAAAGGGTGTCGCGTGTTGCCTCTGCATCCACCGGGCAACACGGACATACTTGCATTGGCGTGGCATATGCTGGGGTTGTTTTAAAGGAAAATAATGAATGCATGCCATTCCCACAAGACAGTGATAGGGGACAGGGTCATAAATCCGTTCGGGCTACTGAGCATCCTGTGAGTTGCAATCGAAACTTGGTATTGAGATCTGCCCAGAACCATGTGAAAAGAGTCAAAAAGGGCCTCTTACTAGCCCTCAGCTAGCCCCGGTTTTGAGCTGGGCTCATGTCCCCGACAGTCATGGGGGAAAAAGAACAACACCTTGGGTAAAGGGACCCGGGTCCCTAACAAAGGAGTGAAATCGGAACTGGTCTGGGCACTGAGTCTGTGCGAGCACTTCTCTGTTCCTTTGGGTTCACTGCCCCCTTCCCTTAGGTTACGTGAAGATTCTGAGTGCTCTCAAAGGGCTTGCGCAAAAAGCTTGCGTGCCAGGTGATCCAAAGGTCCCAAACAAAAACCACAAACAATGGACCCGTTTGATTGAACATCCTCAAGTGCCGGTGTTGCGGGAAAATCAGGTTCACCTCGGGTGACGGTTTGGTCTCACTTTAATGTGCTCAGGTAGCGTAAAGCAAATTACGGCCAGTGAATTCGAAGGGGACTTCGACAGTGAAGCTCAACCTGTTGCTTTTGAGCAGTTTCTTCTTGACATCAAGACAGTAGCCCTCTGTAATTACGCTTTCTAGGATTAAGGAATCTGGCGGAAGAAAAAAAACCTGTCTCAGCGTGTGTAATTACGCTAAGATCAAGGAATCTGTCGAACAATTAAAGGTTTGCCAACTCAGGTAAGAAGCACAAGGCCTATCAGGCACTCATTCTCTGGCGTGTGGACCATGGCTATCTCGGGACTCGATGTTGCGCCATGTTGCACAACTGTCCAATTATCTGTCAGTCCCCCACTGCTTGACCCCGCACATGAGCGTAAAGTGCGTGATGTCCGAGTGGGAACTCTTTGGTGCACATCATGTACATCAACTCATCGTGGGGTGTTCGAATCTAAATCACAACCACATGTTCCAGCTAGGGCCCGATTTTTATTATTATTTCTTCTTAAGACCGGGGTTGCGCACTCCCAAAAACCAATAGGCATCTTTGCAGGGGTAAACGTGTACTCTTCCCCCCCCCGCCCCCCGCCCCCCCTCTCTGCCCACCAGCCGAGCGCTTGGAATTCTCGCCTCGCGCACCAGATCCCAAAGGAAGGGCGGCATATCCGCGAGGACCTGGCGGCATCTTAAGCCCCGAGACAGCGGGTCAAAGGGGTGGAGCCCAAATCAGTGTTGACCCCGTATGAATCAACCCCTTATTTTGTAGGGGGTGGTTTTGGCCCCTCCAAGAGTGATTCCCCAAACCCAGAGACACCCCGTATTACTAAACAGGGGTTGATTAATATGGGGTCATGTGTGTGTGTGTGGTCTTGGCCAATGTTCATATCTGCCAGTCTGGCCCGAAAAATGTCTGGCCCAAGAAAAATGTTTCACGTTTAAAGTCTATTAGTCTATCCTATAGTTTTAGGAGGAGAACCCAGGTCCGGGTTTGCGCAGACCCTCGTACGGGTCGTAAGGGTCACCACTGGGTGGGCAAATGCGGGCACAGAAAAAAGGGGTCCAGGAAACAGGAGAAGGGCACGTTGGATGCGTGTCTTAAGGCTACCCCTGTTTCAGGTTTTGCTTAGGAACACCAAGCGACATCCTAAACAGGGGTCCCATTCGACCGAATCGGGCTGGAAGAAATCTATTGTGTTCGCTTGGGGTTGGGTGCGGCTTGGAGCAACACTTACAAGCTAGCAGTTTTCCACAACCACCAGGGTGTCCCTGTTCCCCCCGAAAGCTGTACGTGGATCTTTGACTCAAGATCAAGAACACCTGCTTGGTCAGTGACCGGTCCATGCCGGGAGGGACTCAAGGATCCCCGAAAAAAAACAAATCAGATCGAAAGCCCAGCTTTGGGCGAGTGAGCAAAAGGTCATGTCCATCCCCTTGGGCAAGAGGTGTGCTTTGCGGGGTGGCGTGTTGGGGGGTGGGGGGTAGCGTTTTGGTTGAATGAACACCATACGCTTTTCAGGAAGAGACAACTTTGCACCGTGCTGCGAAGCACCACCAAACAAAAAGGGCAAAAAGTGTCACTGAACACTTGGACCCTTGTTCTTATGATCCTCTCTGGTAGTACCAGGTTGCTTTGGCTGAGGTAAACAGATAAAGGATGGACATGTCGTTCAGTCCCTTTTGTGCATTCCTCCCTCGTCCGTGACCCAGGGAAAGGGACAGAACAAGAGAGATGAATGGTGCTGGGAAGAGATCCCTCGCCTCTCATATTTGCCACATCACTTCCCCAAATTTAGAGGGAGCCAAAGAACAAACACACACACACACCAAAACATTCAAACACACAAACACGCGAGAACGCAAACACACAAACACACAAACACACAACAACGCAACCACACAAACAAGCAAACTCGCAAACCCGCAAACCCCAAACCCGCAAACCCCCGCAAACCCGCAAACACGCAACCACACAAACACGGAAACGCGCAAACACGCAAATACGCAACCACACAACCACACAAGCACGAAACCACAAACCACGAAACCACAAACACGCAAACACGCAACCACACAAACACACAAACACGCAAACACACAATCACACAAACACGCAAACACGCACGCACGCACACGATCACACAAACAAAGACGCACACACCCACGTGCGCACACAAACACACAAACACGCAACGAAACAAACACACAAACACGCAACCACACAAACACACAAACATGCAACGAAACAAACACACAAACACGCAACCACACAAACACGCAAACACGCAACCACACAAACACGCAACCACGCAAGCACACAAACACGCAAACACGCAAACACACAACAGCACAACCACACAAACAAGCAAACCCGCAAACCCACAAACCCGCAAACCCGCAAACCCGCAAACCCGCAAACACACAACCACACAAACACGAAACCACAAACACGCAAACACGCAAACACGCAACCACACAAATACGCAAACACGCAAACACGCAATCACACAAACACGCAAACACACATACACGCAAACACGCACGCACGCACGCACGCACGCACGCACGCACGCACACGATCACACAAAAACGCAAACCAACAAACACACAAACACGCGAACAAACAAAGACGCACACACCCACGTGCGCACACAAACACACAAACACGGAACGAAACAAACACACAAACACGCAACGAAACACACACACACAAACACGCAAACACGCAACCACGCAACCACGCAAGCACACAAACACACAAACAGACATGAATTCCTTTGTTATCATGACTCAATGTTGCAAGTACTCGACCAACCCTGAATATGTTTTGGCGCTTGTCCGAGATTTCTTCGGTTTCAGGCCGCCGCCTGGTCGATCCCCCTGCAACCGGTTCGGATCCGGAGCTGCCCCGAAAACGCCCCGACGGGGATGGGCCCGGAGCATCCATCGACTGGTGGTTCTACATGGTTACGAAGGTTCACTTAGGCCATACCAACAGTAGATTCAAAGTAGATTCACGAACAAAAGAAGTAACATGGCCTTCTACCCAGAACTAAACCAGGTAGAGTCACCTACTAAAATGGCCCCCAGAAAAGTGGGGGATTTAGGAACCTGCCGTACAGTGCCAAAGCAACGAAGGGGCCTATGCCAAGTGGTGTCTTTAACCCTAAGATTGGCCTATGCCAAGCTCGACAGCAAACAGCATCCTTCACCTAGGGCAAGCATGCAGGATTGCCTGCAACAGCAACCAAAAACACGCACCTCCCATCGCAGGATCAGTTCAGCGACCCTGGCAACACACATGGAGCCCTTTCCAGGGATTCCGTTGAGGGAACCCGCCGGAATCCACCAGGATTGGGCTTAACGCCCATAGTTTATACAGCCTCATCCGGTTTCTCTGATAAAAATATCATTTGAACAATTTTGGCAACCAACCCTCGAATCCACAGAACTGGTCCCAAGTTGGACGGATGTGGGCAGGTGACTCCACGCCTTCTTGGGCCGGAAGCGCGTGTAGGACCTGCCGGAATCGGTTCCAAGCTCGCTTGCACCGGGGACGGTTCCAAAGGCTAGGGCTCCAGCCAGGTCCTTTCGTGCGATGCACTGAAAGGTAACATAGAGGTCAAAACATAGACTTGGGCTTGGAAACACAGGGAAGCGTCTCAAGCTCGGTTATATTCTCATTGGCATAGCGCTTGGACGAGAGGAACGCATGGGAGAGTTCGAGCCTATTTTGTCAATTCCTGGCAAATTCAACTATATATATATATGTATGTATCAGGGGTTCATTAAATTTCATTGTTGTGGGTGCAGGCATTCAGCACGTCCACAAGCTTTCAATTGTCCAAAAACCAAATGCGATAACATCAGGGAACCCAGCACTGCCCAAGCCCAAGCCCAACTATTTCAACTGCTTCTGGGACAACCAAGTATACTCGCTGCATCAACTGCCCGCGCACACGCACACGCAAATACACAGACATTTACACCCACACACTTACGAAAACACAAATACATATCAACAACACAGGACCCGTACACAAACACACCGAGAGGCACACCCAAAAACAAACAAAAAAAAAATAAAAAATAAGCAAATAAACAAATAACCAAATAAGCAAAGAAACAAAGAAACAAAGAATCAAAGAAACAAAGAAACAAAGAAACAAAGAAAGAAACAAACAAACGAACAAACAAACAAACAAAACACACACAAAGAGAGAGAGAGAGAGATAAACACAAACAAAAAGAGCACACGCACGCACACAGGCACGCATAAAGGCACCTACCGGAGCATGCAGGCATGCATTTGCTTGACGCAAACACACATGCTCGGCGACTCCCCCATACAAATCTGCTTACTTATGGGCAAAGCATGTTGGGATATTGTGAGCAGCTTGCACACTCGCACAAACAGATCTGCAAATGCGTACGCAAGTATGATGCTATGCCGTGCCATGCCATGTCATGCAATGACATGTCACGTCCTGTCTTGTCATGCTACGTCATGTCGTGCTACATCATGTCATGCTACGTCATGTCATGCAGTATGAATGAAAGGCATGCATGGTTGCTTGTTGACTGGCTGGCGATGGTCTTGGTTGACTGGTTTGCAGCAGATAGCTTGCTCGGCTGGCTGGTTGGTGGTTGGTTGGTTGGTTCGTCCGTTCATTCGCTGTGATCGTGCACCTGTGCAATTGACTAGCCATCCGCATTACCACAGTTTTTGCGGCCAACATCAATCACGGGCAGCATGTGGAATACGGAAGCTTTACAAAGAGAGAAGACGCTGATCAGGGAATTACAACAACGTTAAAACATGGCACCGTCCAAAGGCCACTGCAAATGCCCAGCATCATGGAGCTTGCTTTGTGCTAGTGCTTTGTGCTAGTTGCAAGGCTGGGTCACCGTGGGTCACTTAGAGGGGTATGTCAAGGTCTTGCCTCAGGAATAGTTGTCTGGATCACAGTGTTGCAGAACTGGGCAAGAAGCGACTGCGAGTCGATGTCATCCAATTTCAAAAGGGTCCCAACTGAGTCCACTCATCCTTGCATTCCCAAACACGATTGTATATACACAATAAATGTGTGTTATGTATATATATATATATACATATGTATATACATATATATATATATATATACATATATATATATATACATAGTGCATTACTGTGCTGCAAGGGCCGGCCTCACCGGGATGGTGGGGATGAGCGATGTCACCTTCTCCTCCCGACTCTTCTGCGGTGAAAGGTAGGATGACCTGCGAAGCGACTGGCCCGGCGCGCAAGGATGGCAGTGCATGGCTCGCAACTCCGTCCGTGGATATGTCTAATGTTGTTATGTCTGGTTTCCAGCCAAGAAAACCTTCCCGCGCCGGGTTGGAAAAGGAATGTGTATCTTTCCGGGTACAAGCTGCCCATCTGAGCCTCTGGGCCTACGGGAAAGCTTCTGGTTTCGACCTGGATTTGCTTCCGGTGGGGACTCATAAACCCTGATACGTCACTTGCCATGGATGCTCGGACCCGCTGTTCACGGCCGCCGAGGCTTTCTGACGCAGCCAGCTCCCCATCTGCGAGCCCCCGATGTTCACTGAAGCCACCAGCACTTTCCGCTTCCCATCAGAGTTGTGCACCCAGAAAGTCTTTCGTTGAGCAATCGATGGTCTTGGCACGGAATCTGGAAAGGCAACAGAAGGAATCTTGGGGTCCTTGAGAGACTATGCAGCCCAGCTAGACTTCCTCTCGGTCAACCCCTCTGGGTGTCAGGCCAGACCGGCAGATCTGGATGCACCACCGGCACCGGGATGTAAAGACCTGAAGTTCCCATGCGAACCGCAGTGACTTGATCTTGGAAATCGGGCTCTGGCCCCTCTTCTACATTGTCTATTTACGCCGGAAAACCATAGGAATATGGGGACGCCAGTGGACCATTCACTACATGGGCAAACCTCTGGACAAAACCCAGGTCTAAAAACGATGAGCTGTGGAAATAACTTGGAACCTGTCAAAAAGACTGGGGAACAACAAACATCTTGGCAACTTTTGGCATTTTTCGCCAACTGAGATATTGATCTCCAACCGACCGACCTGGTCACAAACAGAAACTTCTGGTGAGGTCACAAAACGATCTTCCAAGTGCAAAGGCCAACTTGGAAAATGAGATGGGAAGCTAGCCGAAGCCCCCTTATATTATGCGCACATCAAGATTCGGGTACCCAAAAAATGGTCGATCGTTTTTTGTTCTTCTGTTTGTTTTATCTTTTTATTGGATTCCTTTAAGCCAAACTAGGGAACCATCAAAAAAAACACAAACCCATATTGAGCCAACCAGTGACTCTGCGTGCTGTAGATTGTTTTCTGTGTCATGCCAGGTGCTGTTCGAGAAGCCGATGTTTGCAAAGCTCCGTACTCTCTTCATTTCCTTGGTGCACTTCTTGGATGTTCAAGCTACTTAGAGAGTAGGTCAAACCCACGGATATAACGGGGTAACTGGGGTCAGTACATTTCTAAACCCTACGTACTACACCAGGCTGAAAGCAGATGGCAGAATTCCTTTTTCGTCGGCAAGTAAAGCGGGCGACTAAACGTTTTGTACTTTTACCCAACGGTGGGCGCTTGGCTTTTTTTCAGGTCCCACAGTTTCACCAGGCCCACAACATCTCAAGAGTTGACTCGATTTCACACGAGTCGTTGCCAAACGAAGCGCTCGAAGCCGAAAAAGTATCTCTTCGTGGCACTGCTGAAGCAAGCATCCATTCTTCATTTGGGGCGCACAACCCGCTCTCGAGCAAACCGGAGATATGCAGCAAATATGGGCGTCAATCTGAATTTGGCACCCTTTGCTGGACAGTATTCAGGTGGGAGTTGGACACCACCAACCACAGGTCTCTAACCATTCCCTTTAAAACAGCAGTAAAATCGACCATGTTCCATGATTCCAACCAAACAACCCTGGTTTCGTTTTCACAATCCGTGCTTTGGGTGAGTTTCGGTTGTGGCACCTGACATCTCCCGCATGAGCCCCGCCTCTGCCGCGCTCTTTGAGCGGCGGCACCTGGAGATGGGCAAGATGCGTTAATAACTTTCCCATTGAGACGCTCCAGAAAACCAGGGAATCTGTTTGCCGCCTTTTTGCGAGAAAAAATTGGCGACCCCCTCAAGAAGGAATCCTTCACTACGACGGGCCGATCATTTTTCCACGGAAGCTTGCAAAAAGACCCCTGCAGAAAACCAAGCAAGAAAGAAAGGGCTGACTTGAAGAGGTCTCGGAATCCCTTAGAAGCCGAACTTTCATTCGGGCTTTGGGAATGAACCGAACACACCCATCTACCCTTGTGGCTTCATCTTGAGGCTTGGAGATCCGTCTCGTTGGAACTTTGCAAGGGCCACGTTTTCAGGGAGGACCGCTTGTGATCCAAATCCTGAGCCTCCCGAAGACACCAAACGAACTTGATTCGGGCCTCTGGGAGTCAAACAGAAACCAGCAAACTCAATTTGACTTGGTTGCAGTTGAGCCCTCTGCCAAAAGTTTAACTTTTTGTGGGTTGTGGAAAACCCATTGATTTCCTCACAAAGTTGAAATCTAAAGATCCAACCCAATAGCAGTCAAGTTGAGCTCCTCGGATTGCTGGTCAATTGACATCATGAGACCAGTGGCAAATGTAATCATTAAGGCAAGCTTATTTCACAGATTACGCAAACGAATTATTGCAGTCACATCCTGGACTTCCTTCGTGGAATCCAATACAAGTCGCATGTTTCCACTATGTCCTGAATTGGACAAACAACATGCCGAATGCACGCATATGTCTGCAACAGCAAACAAACAATTGAAGTCTAGGCAATCACCCCGGCAGAAGTGATCTGCTTGTGATCAACATCCACTTCGATCGAGACATGCCTGCCGCTTGGAATTGTTAGAATTCAGGGCGCGGTGGCTTTCGGTAGCAGTTGTCGTTACAGTCATTGACACCCCACTTGCCAAGGATGGGTTTGGCATGTTTAGAGGAAACCAAAACCCAAGCAGCCTGGGCTTTTGCACACAACCTCAAGGACCCGCCGCAACCCGCGCAGGTCCCCGCGCCATCTTGCCGTCGCGGTTGAAAAGCTCGGCATCCCAAATACCACGCCTCAGCACTGCACAGATCCGGCGAACGATTTGGGCGTGTCATCTTTTTGAGGGCACCCCTGGAACCACCAATTCCGCGGGGGTCCCTTTTTTCTGAGACAAACCCACGTTGCAAGTACAGGGCAATGAAGGACACCTTGCAATTCACCGCACGTTTGCAAAGATTTTGTGGTGGATGTGGTTGGCCAAGCTCGCCCGATGCTTCGTTCTTTACACAAGCGTTCATTTTAAAAGCCTTCGCAGCAGGGAGCGTAACCCCATGCCAATATTGTTCTTAGATAGGACCCGCCCGGACTCTTGGGACTCTTGCAACGTAGGTAATGAGCCAAGGGACAACCTTCATGGTTGGTCCTGGGGGCGTTGCGTCCCAAAAGCCCGCGATTCCATGGGTTCAACCATCTGATGTGGAACTAAGCTGGACACGTGCTTCCAACTGGCAACGGCCCTTCCCTCTCTTCAGGGTTCGCCCTAGAGAACATTCCACACTGGTGCAGCCCCGGCCCAAAGCATGCGATGTGCACCCTGTCAGACATGTGCGAACTGAACCTTTGTTGCGTACCAAGCAGCAGCCTACTCCACAAAGACAACAACACGCCAACTCTTTGAGCACGCGTCTTGCTCGGGAAGCAACTTTAGAAACAAGAATCAAGCCAATTAACACGATTCCCCGACTTCTCAAGACGCAAGGCGAACATATAAGCCGCCTATGGAGGACACCCTCCAAAGAAATGAACAGAGAGAACTGGTACCTCTTTTGGCGCCCCCGCAGCATGATCTTCTTCCCCACACCCTCGGCGCAGCCCACCATGTCGTAGGGCGGCAGGTACCTGCAAAACGCAGGCCCAAAGCCCCTGGGTTGAGGGTTTTTGCCCCCCTGGTGTCGTCCCTGCACCAATTTTGGGGCGGACCCGGGGAACCCCCCGTTGAAAGTGCACCGAAGTTGGTGCGTGTGTGTCTCTGTGTCTCTCTGTGTCTGTGCGCCGGTGTGTGTGTGTGTGGGTGTGTGTGTGTGTGAGTCTCTATCCAATATCTTTGCTTTATCTCGTTTTCCTTTCATTCATTCCTGTCCAAAAGATCGCCCAAGAGCTGTGCCAGAAACAATCCTTCAGAGACTTCATTACAGCTTTTGGTCTATCTGTTCACTCACATTGTCTTATCAATTTCTTGGTCCTTAGAAAGCTTGGAAAGAAGACAATGGCCAACAACACATTTGATGGTTCTATCTTATTCGCTTTAATCCGCGTCTTCTTAATATGAGCACTCATATGTTTCATTTTCGTCTCTTTCTTGATTATTGGGGGACCGCCGGCAAGAGAAGGAAACCCTTCAGTGGTAGTGACACTATCATTTTAGAAGCTTGGACGCCAAGTAAAGCCCAGCGTTTTAAACTTTCAGACCTTTTAACACCTTGCCCAAACGACGAGGAAATCAGGCGTCAGCTTTTGCGACAACCGCACTTGAAAAGGCAAAAGGCGAAAGGCAAAAGGCGAAAGGGGCGAAAACGAAACTCCGATTCCCACATTTAGCCCGAACCAAACCTAGACATTTACGGGACCCCGCAAAATGATGGGTTTTCCTCTTGGTGTCCCTTTAAACCCACAAACGGGGCGCACCCTCAACAACTGACACACCCAAGTGAACCTTGTTTCCTGCCGTTGCAAACACGGTGCCCTCAGAAAACACCGCAATGGCTCCCTGCGCTTGTAGGAAATCACCCCTTCTGGATTCCCATCATGTTGATTCGTCCCCTCTCGTTTCCTAAGTGACAAGTTGTTTGCAAGCGCACGGCTCGTCGATGAGCACGGGCATGACCCGCTTCCGCGGAGGCACCTGGGCCATCGGAGTCCCATGAAGACAAGGGCGCCCCGTGCTGTGTTGGGGGAGGGTTTCTTGCTTTTAATGGGAACCCGCCCCCCCAAAAAAGATGGGGAAGCCAGGTTCGCCAACCGCTGCGCGCGGCTCGGTCCTTGGCCCCATAAAGCTCCGACGTGTTGCTTATCACTGTATAACGTGATCTTCAGAAATCAAGCCCAACAACTTGTTGGACGTGACGGGCACCTTGCATTGGACCATTGGATCTGCCCTTTTGAAGGCACCCTCTGTGGGGCGGATTTTAAATTTAAAGGGAAGACAAAGGAGGAACCGTCATTTTGTGAGGGTCCCCAAAAGTCAGTACCAAACCCTTCATGTATAGTGACCAGGGTGTGTGTGTGTGTGTGTCAAGATAGGGGGACTTAGGGGGGCCCCAAAAAAATTGTGGGTGTCCTTTCTGTTTCCCTTCAAAACCACCCCAAGCAGGCTTCCCGAGCCTCATAAACACAAGAACACAAACACGCAGACACGCACGCACACTTTTGACTTATGAGGTTTACTCACAGACGAAAAACAGCGAGCCACTTGACCCGCGCAGACAGGCACGAAACAAAAACAAACACCACAAAGGGTGAAGAACACAGTTGGCCTCTAGGGGGCCCGTCGGTTTTGGGATATAATTCAGCGCCTGGCCAAGGGAAAGCCAACAACTTGGCCCAAAAAACGGGTACGACGAAAAACAAAAAACATGTGTCTCCGACTCTCCTTAAGTCGACCCCATATGAATTCTGTGTTTTTTTCTTCCTATTTTTTATTAAGCAATATCTTAACAAGTAATTTTCCACTATCATGCCGAGCGCCCCTGCCACGCCCCAGCCCTGCACCTGGCACGGATGGGAGGCTTGACAGCTTTGCTTTGCGGAAGCGAACAACTAGAACACGTGGCCAATAACGCGCGAAACGTATTGTATGTGTAGCTATATATATACATATATATATATATATATCGATACCATGCAAGCTTGTCAAAAGGTAGGCTTCTTCTTCTTTTTTTTGGGGGGGGGAGGGGGGGGCTTAGCATATGTGTATACATATATATATATATATATGTGTTGTATGTTCTATGTTAGGCGGTCCTAACCGGACCATCAAAGTTGGGGCGGTTCAATCCATGCGGGTATTCCCGGGACTCTGCTTAAGGTGTCGCGTGGAGACCATTACAAGTCTTGCGTGCATGACATATGTTGTGTTCATAGGTAGGTATATTATATAAGCATATGGGTATGCTATACTATACTTGATAGTTAATGTTCATATATGATAACATACATACCCAAGTATATTCCGATATAGCTAGACTTGTTGATGTTTGTTCATGCTATCAACTTGGGGTCTGCTATATAAGCAATCAGAGCTGGGCGTTGAGCAAAGCTCTTTCCCCCTCTCTCGTGCTCTGGCCTTCTCGGGATCGTTGTTGTCCTGAAAGATGCTCATGGTGGTGCTCAACCTGAGGTGCCAACAGAGCTCCCTTTGTGTCCAACCTGTCAACACCCCACCAACAGAAAACTCACTTTCAACTGGAACCAACATGTGATGTTTGAAACTACCCAAAGGGAACATCTTGGGAATTCTGGTCAAGCACTCCATGGGACAACAATCATATATCCATTTCCTAGAATACAGCCATGCAAAGCCATGCAAGCAGGGAGAAAGGGATACCGCTGAACGTCACTTCCGTCAGGGCATCACGGAATGAACCCATAAAGGAAACCACCAGTTGGATGCTTTGCAAGCACACTCCCTCATTCCCTCATTCCCTCATTCCCTCATTCCCTCATTCCCTCATTCCCTCATTCCCTACTGAGCACCGGCAAGAAAAGCGTCGTCCTCGCCAAATTCCCAACAGAAGCCCTGCTCCCCAAATTCACTTGCCCTTGTGACGACTAAATTCTGGAACTCGCTGCCAGTCTTGGCCCAACTAGCCCACAAGTTTTATGGGAAATGCCCCAAACACCCCCGGCATGAAAAGGAACACCTTGAACTCAGGAGTCCCCAGGATACAAGAATACCCTGGATGGCTGGCCCAAAACGCTTTGTTCAGTGATCCCAAAACTTTACCTCGCCAGGCTACCTCCCCCCCCCCACAAAAAAAAGGGGCATCAGATGCGCATTTGCAAATTCACAGGGACCATGAAGATCCATTGATAGGTGAATCCATCTTTCGCCCCTGTAATAGGTGAATCTCCTTCCATTTTGCGAAAACGGAATCTTTCCGTAAGAACAAAGGGCGCTGTTTGTCTCCGAGGGGCCAATCCTTCTCTGCTGGCACCGCATCGGCCAGGCGGCACTGCCTGCGTTTGGCCGGCTTCTCGAGCCGCGAGGCTCGGTGCCCGAAAGGGGTCCAACATGTCGCATTTCGCGCCGACCCCCTCGCGTTTTTGGCCAAGGCAAAAGGTCAAAAGCAGGTTCGGGGGTGCAAAAACCGGGCCCCCTTCTTGACATGGGAAACCGAAAGGACGCTTGAGTCTTTCTTTTTGGAGAAGTCATGGGAAGGAAACCGAATGAGAACCTATGTTGTATAACGACGATGAGATGAAGAATCAACCACAAGCCACTGTTTGAGTATCATTCCCAGCGGATCACAGTCGCCACCGTACGGAACCAGCCATTGTCCTATTAGTTTTTTTTTTTTTTTAATCGGATGCTTCCCTTGGCTACCAGGGTCGTTGCCCCTGAAAGCATCACCCCCCTACCACGAAAAACTCTCCTCAAACACGGTCAAAAGGGTGACCCGGGTTTGCCGTAGCCCGCAGGTCAACTGAGCTTGCGGCCCGTAACTCGAGGTGCTTTCAAAGGACGGCATCACCTGAGCATTCGGAGCCGTGTTTTGTTTCTGGAGTTGCTGCAGTACCCTTTGCCTGCTGGTTCAAAGGGAAACCAAAAGGAAAACCACATTCTTACGGGTTCCCTATATGAAACCATCTGGGCAAATGAACAAGGTTGACGAAAAGGCAATAATTATATGTTCAAGTAAGCACTGAACTCGCCCAGCCCCATGCCATTAACGACATACCACTACTTCCCACACCTGTCCCTCGCATCTTTAGGGTGCTCTCGAATCAGATGCTGGGTTTGCATGTAATGTTCATGTCTGGATGAATTCCACTCACCGACCAACCTGAAGTGTGGAATCCAAGGATTTATTATATTGGGGTGGGGCTGCAAACCCCGTTTCAAGCGTTTGCTATCAGCTGCCCAGCGTTCCAAGGGAGTGCCATTGTGACCGACTCATATGTGCAATTACTCTGAACACAAGAAAATGCGTGAGTCCTTCTGGCTCCTGGTTGTGTCAAAACCTAGCCAATCCCCCATGTCCTTTCCGAATGGATGTAACCAAATCTAAATTCAGTCATCCACAAGTTGGCTCCTTCTCCGAGCTTCTCAAACTGCTGTTTTGGATGTTCCTGCTCACCATTTCAGGGGCACTTTTCAGAGACCCAGACCTCCAGCCGACAACACATCTGCCAGGTTGAAACGAAGGTGGGACTTTGTTTGTCAAGATGGTGTTGACAGGCTTGCCCACCAATCTATCTGCTTGGGGTCTACGCTGGTACAAGTTCAAGGGCAACAGCACTTCAACCACAAATCCGGTTGCAACGAAGCTTGGAGTTGAGCACTTCCAAGGGGAAAAAAAAATCTCGGACAGGCCGCGGCCTATTGAGGCGTCTCGAGATCTCTCGATCTCGCGCCGCTTTTCTCGCGGAACGGAAAACTCGGCCCGCGGGCGGTCTCGTGGAAGTCGGCCAGGTAGAGGAAGGGCCGCTGGAAGGGATCCCGCAGCGCCTGCCGAGTGGTGACTACCGGACCCGGGGCAGGCGGATCCTGAGGTTTCTGAGGTTGGGGATGGGAAATTGGAGAACCCCAAGGTGGCATCCAAAAACGGCTTTCTCTTGAAACGATCCAAAGACGGCTCCCCAAGTTTGAGACACATATCTTAGGAAGCAACGGGTTTCTTGGGCTCCTTATCCTGAAGCCTTGCAGCCTATATCCGCGATTCTGCGAGTCAACTGCAAGGGGGGTGGAACAGCCACCTTCAGCTTTTGCCAACATGGCATGCTCGGAATTTGATGCATAGCTGGAAAAGTGATATCAGACAATGTCCCAGAAAAGAAAGAAGCAACTCCCAGTTACTTTTTCTTAAACCACCACAGGTCGGGTGGTTAGGGGTGCCCTATATCAATAGGGCCCCTCGCTTGAGCGGCCCCCTTTGCCCCCGTGGGCCCCGGCATTCACCGGCTGCCGCGTGGGTTTCGCTGCTTGCATCTCCTGGTAGCCCGGGATGTCCTGGCGATGGGAGCGAGCGCTCACCGACGCCAAGAGGCGCCGCTTGGCCCATCCGATGGGCTCCGATTAATCACCTTTGGGTGGTTAACCCATATAGGAACACCATTTACTTTTGTGGAGATAGGTGAGAGCTCAACCTTGTCTCTTGTTGGGGATAGCGCACTCAATCCATTTCCCTTTTTTAATGGACCCTTCGAGAGGTTCTCAAAATTACTTGTGGGTCTCGATAATTATGAGGATGTCTTACTAAAATAATTTGATCCAGGTTCAGCCGTTCCAAAGTCCGACAGAAACTTCCCAGCTCAAAACGTGTGTGTGTGTGTGTTGTTATGGTTTTTTGTCAGAGGGTACCCTTCGCTTGTGGTCATAAAGGAAAACCAAAAGGACGCCAGCCAGGTTCGGGGATCACCTAAAACATACACACTCAAATGATGTCAGCCAACCAAAAAGGAATTCGAAATATCGTTCGTTCACCTTTCGGGTCGGAGAACTGGGACTTCTGACCAAACAAATGACCAAGCTTCCAACATTGACCTGGGTGTGTCTTTTTTGGGGGTACCTCCAAAAGCGGGTTGCTTCCTTTGGGGAAATAAGTGGGAATATCCAAACAGGAATCAGTTCAAGAAAAGATGGTTGGTTGTGTTCCCCTGCACACCAAACAAAATCCACCATTTTGGTAAACTCAAATAAAAAGCACACATTTCGGGGGTGGGGGGGGGGGCGTTTTCGAGTCTTCACAGGTATACTGACAATCACTTAACACCAGCCCTGGATGCTGCGCAGCCGCTGCTTCGAGCGTGGCTTTGGTAAATCGCTAAATCGCTCGCGTTGCGAGCATGGCTTTGGACTTACCTCGAATAGATTGTCTTCTGGATGGCGTCAAAAAACAGTCTGGGTCCACTCAAATTTTCAGGCAAACGGATATCGCCTCATTTACAGTTCCAAGTAGGCCAACTAATGTTTAGGCTAAGTGAGCCAACTTTGCTGCTTGCACTGACCCCGGCCCCCCCTTCTCTCCAAGCCTATTGCTTGGCACGGAAGATTCTACGTGAAGTCAGGGGTCCACATTTGGCCAAACGATCAGAACAAATCCTGTCGTTGTTCAAGGAACTTGCCGATGGCCTTTGGGAACTCTGAATGAAGAAACCACCCAAACGGAATCCTTGAGCTGGGTTTATCTCCACTCGCCCCGCCTTGAATGCCTTCAAGACTCCTGCGATGCCATCTTGCTCCAGGACGGTTGGTTGGCATGACCGAAGCACAAGTTTGTCGACTAACGGGTCGCATCCAATCGAAGCGTTCCCTCGGCGAACAGTCATGTTGACAAAACTGCGGTTCAGCCAAAGAACCTGCTAGTTAGTATCTCTCCAAGCGAGAGACATGCTGGGGGGAGTTGGCAAATATATATATATATATATATGTATAAATAAATATATATATATATATATATATAATATTACAATATAATTTAATTCATATATATATACATGTATTTTTGGCTTGTCTCGCTTTGGGAAACCCTCCTTTTGGCCAACCCCGACCCCAAGTTCGAAGCTTTCGGCCGGCTCCTCGAGCTGCAAGGGGTACGGCACAATCTGGGCATCGGCAAAAGTCGCCCGCGCGTGGGGCGTGGGGCGTGGGGGGGGGGGGGTCCATGGCCGAAGTGCGTATGTGGGGAGGTTCTTCATGCTACTTTTGTAGGCTTAGCTCATTTGGGTGTGATTCTACATGCACCCCAGACCCTTTGGTGGACATGATATGGAGATTCATGTCCACCAACCACTTTTGAGGTGGATCCCGGATCGTTAAAGTTAATCTATGGTTGAAAGGAATGTGAAATGAACCTTTGCTTTGAGTCGGTACCCTTTTCAGGTGAGACAAATTCTCAAAATCTGGCATTCACGCAGTGTACCCGAAACCATGTAGAGAACTCAAAAAAAGTGGCCGCGCCTATGTAGCTTCCCTTCATCTGCCCGCATCGGTCTTTTTGAGGACCGTGGCTCGGGTGGGTCAGGGAAAATTAAAAGAAAGCTAGGTGCTCCAGTAGAGGATACAATAAGGGTACCAACTTTTTTCAGGACGTCTTTTTTAGTAGGGGAACCCTCTCAACCAAAAAAAGAAACGGTAAAAAAGGGCAATAGGGGAACCCTCCGTCCACCATGCTTAGGGGAACCCTGCCCCAAAATGGGTAAAAGGGCACCTAGCTGGGGGGCCAAACGAAAAGCCACCGGTGCCAGGGCTTCCCGGCGTCCACCTCCGCCATGTCCGGCTGTGTCAACGGCCGTGCCAAATCCTCCGCCTGGACACGGCGTTTGTGGTGGCTTTCGGGAAAGAAGCATCCCTGGAAAGAATAGGGCAACAGACAGTCTCTCCTAGCCAAGCCCGCGCCCATACCCTGGTAGTATCATATGCGATTGGTGACCAGTGACTAGGGCCCATCAAACACCAACGGTCAGAATCTATGGCTGCCCTTGTTCCTCTAAATCAGGATTTACGATAGCACTTCTGATTTAGACAGCTTGGAGCCATAGTACCCTAATCCTAATTAGATCGTATTTAAACCACTTGCTGTGGAAGAAAATGGTCCCCAAATCTTTTAAAACCGCTTAGAAGAAGCAGGACACCCAGCGATTGGATGCCCTGATTTCACAGCCAAGGTGTTGTTCTTTTTTCAGGCCCCAAGAGAGACTTCAACCGGTTTCCGATCTTTGTGGAAGAATCAACCGCCGCTTATCCGCATCTAGCTTGGGGTCCGCACGCAACAAAATGGTTGATCCCTGAAGTCATTAGGGTATTCATGAGGGTATTAATTCCGCATGTTAATTGCACCCATCTGCTAAGGTTAGCTAGGTCCTCCAGTAGGTAGGTTAGAATAAGGGTACCCTTTCTTCTGTAGTCTATTTTAGTAGGGAAACCCTCCGCCAAAAAAGAAACGGTCAAAGGGCACCTAGCTGGGCGACCTAGTTCGGGTATTCCAACCATCGCTAGCCAGCTCCAAATCAGCTTCGTTGCCTTGAAGAGCGGGCCGCCCTTGCCCTTCTCCAAAGCCTCGGACGGACAAAACGTCCCCAGGACAGCCCCATGCGGATGTATCCCAGGCAAAGCGAGGTTGTCTCCGCGTCGCTTGGAGGGCCAACTCTGGCTCTGTCTGCAAATTCACCTTGGCACAATTTCGCCTTTCAGCATCTTCTGTGACATATCATCTTCTCATGTTAAATCTGAAACCAGCGTTCATTTTCCACGAAATGCTCAGGAGGGTTGTTTGAGCCTTTGCCAGGGAGCAGAATTGAACGCACGTGTTCGCGATTTGCCAAGTGTTCAGCAACATAGCCGAGCTGCAACGTTCAAAGGGGCCCTCTTCCCTATGCTTAGTTTAGCCTATCAATGTAATGCCCCATGCTGGCACGCTTGTTCGCTTGGCTGCTTAAGAAGAATGCAACTTCTTGGCTCCACTGAGTCATTGCAAGCCATCCTAGCGTCCTTTCAAAAGTTCCCTTGGTTTCCCAAAACCCACGTTGATTCCCTGAGCACCAAGAAGGCCAACATGCCAAAAGTGCGCGGTCAGTATTGCATGTGCTCCATGCGTGGGACGACGTACACTGCGCAACTTGCTTGAATCTTCGGAAGTCGAGTTGACACCGCAGATCCTACCCACGAGTTGCCTAGCCACATTACCCGGGCTGAACATTCCAACAACAACCGGGAAACTGCAGACATGAAAAAACAAACCTTTGCCGACATGTGCCGACATCGCGTGAAATGCTGAAAAAGAAAGCAAAGGATAGTCTGAAACCAGAAAAGGAGGCCTTTGGACCGGGTGGATTGCTTTGTGCACGAGGGACGAGGTCTTTCAACAAGACATCGCTTCTTGTTGGTACTCTGGCTCATTTCTTGCTGCAGAGCTGCTGTCCTAACCTTACAATGACATTGCTTTTAGTTAAGCTTGAAAAGTAGCATGATGTCCCAAACGTCCTTGCCTTGCAGAGATTTTCAAAGGGAGCCACCATCTGTCATCCACCGCATGGGGGGTCTCAAAATCGGGAACCTCCGAACCCACCACACGCTGCGAGGACATGATCCGCCTTTTACCCACGAAGGGGTACTCCGTGGTCTTGCATGTATTCCTTACGGCAAAATCCTATTCAAAAACCTGACATTAGGATTCCGTAAACAGAAAGAAGAACAAAAATAATCAGCTGGAGTCGGAGATCCTGCTCAGAAAATGAGAAATAGAAATGGGAAAAATATACTTCCCTGCAAATGAACCCCCAAACAGGTTCCCTCAAAGCTTCCTCTAAACACTCACTTCCTGAGTGGATGGGCCAAAAAAAAGTCCAAACTCTTTATTTACCACCAAAATATCTTCCCAAAATGTATCAAGGCCATCTACTCGAGGAGTGGTTTTGGGTTCCATGTCAATTTGTAGGAAGCCATGGTGACACGTTTTGACCGAAAACGAGCGAGGCGTCGCTGGGCTGTCCGGCTGCGAGGATGCTGCTGACGGCCTCCGCGGAGTCACCTGCACCAAGGTACGGAAGAGAAACGCCACGAAACCTCGGGGGAACCGCCGAGCAGCTGGTTTCCTTGAAGCCAACCTTCAAATTTTAATTCGAGTCTGGAAAAAAATGGGTACACCTTCAAAAAAAACGCACTCAAATGTCTTCAAGTCTTCAAATTCTGTACACCTTCAAAAAACACGTACTTAAATTTGTCTTCAAGTCTGGAAGACATTGGGTACACCTTCAAAAAGCACGCACTCGAATTTGTCTTCAAGTCTGGAAAACATTGGGTATATACACCTTCAAAAAAAACGCACTCAAATGTCTTCAAGTCTTCAAATTCTGTACACCTTCAAAAAACACGTACTTAAATTTGTCTTCAAGTCTGGAAGACATTGGGTACACCTTCAAAAAGCACGCACTCGAATTTGTCTTCAAGTCTGGAAAACATTGGGTATATACACCTTCAAAAAAAACGCACTCAAATGTCTTCAAGTATTCAAATTCTGTACACCTTCAAAAAACACGTACTTAAATTTGTCTTCAAGTCTGGAAGACATTGGGTACACCTTCAAAAAGCACGCACTCGAATTTGTCTTCAAGTCTGGAAAACATTGGGTATATACACCTTCAAAAAACACGCACTCAAATGTCTTCAAGTCTTCAAATTGGGTACACCTTCAAAAAACACGCACTCAAATGTCTTCAAGTCTTCAAATTCTGTACACCTTCAAAAAACACGCACTTAAATTTGTCTTCAAGTCTGGAAAACATTGGGTACACCTTCAAAAAACACGCACTTAAATTTGACTTCAAGTCAGGGAAAAAACGAGTACACCTTCAAAAAACACGCACTCAAATTTGTCTTCAAGTCTGGAAAAAATTGGGTACAGTTTCAAAAAACACGCACTTAAATGTGTCTTCAAGTCTGGAAAAAATGGGTACACCTTCAAAAAACACGCACTCAAATGTCTTCAAGTCTTCAAATTGGGTACACCTTCAAAAAACACGCACTTAAATTTGACTTCAAGTCTGGAAAAAAATGGGTACACCTTCAAAAAACACGCACTCAAATGTCTTCAAGTCTGGAAAAAATTGGGTACACCTTCAAAAAAACGCACTCAAATGCCTTCAAGTCTTCAAATTGGGTACACCTTCAAAAAACGCGCACTGAAATGCCTTCAAGTCTTCAAATTGGGAACACCGTCAAAAAACACGCACTTAAATTTGTCTTCAACTCTTCAAATTGGGTACACCTTGAAAAAACACGCACTTAAAATTGTCTTCAAGTCTTCAAATTGGGTACACCTTGAAAAAACACGCACTTAAATTTTACTTCAAGTCTGGAAAAAAAAGGTACACCTGCAAAAAACACGCACTCAAATGTCTTCAAGTTTTCAAATTGGGTACACCTTCAAAAAACGCGCACTGAAATGTATTCAAGTCTTCAAATTGGGCACACCTTCAAAAAACACGCACTTAAAATTGACTTCAAGTCTGGGAAAAAACGAGTACACCTTCAAAAAACACGCACTCAAATGTCTTCAACCTTCAAAAAACACGCACTCAAAAGTCTTCAAGTCTTCAAATTGGGTACACCTTCAAAAAACACGCACTCAAATGTCTTCAAGTCTTGAAATTGTGTACACCTTCAAAAAACGCGCACTGAAATGTCTTCAAGTCTTCCAAATTGGGTACACCTTCAACAAACACGCAATCAAATGTCTTTAAGTCTTCAAAATGGGTACACCTTCAAAAAACACGCACTCAAATGTCTTCAAGTCTTCAAATTGGGTACACCTTCAAAAAACACGCACTTAAATGTGTCTTCAAGTCCGGAAAAAATTGGGTACACCTTCAAAAACACGCACTCAAATGTCTTCAAGTCTTTCAAGTTGGGTACACCTTCAAAAAACACGCACTCAAATGTCTTCAAGTCTTCAAATTGGGTACACCTTCAAAAAACGCGCACTTAAATGGTACTTCAAGTCTGCAAAAAATAGAGTACACCTTCAAAAAACGCGCACTGAAATGTATTCAAGTCTTTCAAATTGGGCACACCTTCAAAAAACACGCACTCAAATGCCTTCAGGTCTTCAAATTGGGTACACCTTCAAAAACACGCACTCAAATGTCTTCAAGTCTGTAAATTGGGTACACCTTCAAAAACACGGACTCAAATGTATTCAAATCTTTCAAATTGGGTACACCTTCAAAAAACCCGCACTCAAATGTCTTCAAGCCTTTCAAATTGGGTACACCTTCAAAAAACACGCACTCAAATGTCTTGAAGTCTTCAAATTGGGTACACCTTCAAAAAACACGCACTCAAATGTCTTGAAGTCTTCAAATTGGGTACACCTTCAAAAAACGCGCATTGAAATGTGTTCAAGTCTTTCAACTCGGGTACACCTTCAAAAAACACGCACTCAAATGTCTTCAAGTCTTCAAATTGGGTACACCTTCAAAAAACGCGCACTGAAATGTGTTCAAGTCTTCAAATTGGGTACACCTTCAAAAAACGCGCATTCAAATGTCTTCAAGTCTCCAAATGGGGTACACCTTCCAAAAACACGCACTGAAATGTTTTTAAGTCTTCAAATTGGGTACACCTTCAAAAAACACGCAATCAAATGTCTTTGAGTCTTCAAATTGGGTACACCTTCAAAAAACACGCACTCAAATGTCTTCAAGTCTCCAAATTGGGTACACCCTCAAAAAACGCGCACTGAAATGTCTTCAAGGCTTCAAATTGGGTACCCCTGCAAAAAACACGCACTCAAATGTCTTCAAGTCTTTCAAATTGGGTGCACCTTCAAAAAACACGCACTCAAATGTCTTCAAGTCTTCAAATTGGGTACACCTTCAAGAAACACGCACTCAAATGTCTTCAAGTCTTTCCAATTGGGTACACCTTCAAAAAACGCGCACTGAAATGTCATCAAGTCTTTCAAATTGGGTACACCTTCAAAAAACACGCACTCAAATGTCTTCAAGTCTTCAAATTAGGTACACCTTCAAAAAACACGCACTGAGATTTACTTCAAGTCTGGAAACAACTAGGTACACCTTCAAAAAACACGCACTCAAATGTCTTCAAGTCTGGAAAAAATGGGTACACCTTCAAAAAACGCGCACTGAAATGTCTTCAAGTCTTCAAATTGGGTACACCTTCAAAAAACGCGCAATCAAATGTCTTTAAGTCTTCAAATTGGGTACACCTTCAAAAAACACGCACTCAAATGTCTTCAAGTCTTTCAAATTGGGTACACCTTCCAAAAACACGCACTCAATTGTCTTCAAGTCTTCAAATTGGGCACCCTCGAGAAAACGCGCACTCAAATGTCTTCAAGTCTTCCAATTTGGGTACACCTTCAAAAAACACGCACTCAAATGTCTTCAAGTCTTCAAATTGGGTACACCTTCAAGAAACACGCACTCAAATGTCTTCAAGTCTTCAAATTGGGTACAAACAATATGCACTCAAATGTCCTCAAGTCTTCAAATTGGGCACCCTCGAGAAAACGCGCACTCACATGTCTTCAAGTTTTCAAATTGGGTACACCTTTAACAAAACGCACACAAACGTCTTCAAGTCTTCAAATTGGGTACACCTTCAAAAAACACGCACTCAAATGTCTTCAAGTCTTCAAATTGGGCACCCTCGAGAAAACGCGCACTCAAATGTCTTCAAATTAAATTGGGTTCACCCTCGAGAAAACGCGCACTCAAATGTCTTCAAGTCTTTCACATTGGGTACACCTTCAACAAACACGCACTCAAATGCCTCCTGATCTCCGCAACCCTTTGAGCGACTCCATTCCAGGTCAGCGGGACCTTCTTCGACTTGGAGGGGTCGCATGGATGGCAAGCAAGCGAAAAACACGTCAACGCATCAATACACACAACAATCTGGGTAAATGACTCATTTTTTCCCCACAAGTCCAAGCCCTGCTAAAAGGCCGAGCGAGCTCGCCACACAGTAGGCAGCGATTATTGGAATTCCCTTTGTGAGGTCGCGACAACTTGGTCAGCACAATTCGTCGGCGACACCCAAAACGAGGTGGCGGTTACCTGTGAAGGGCTCGCATCCAGTCGACGCATATGGGCTCGCATGTTGCTAGGTTTGAGTCATATTGCTGCCGCGCCCCTTGGAACGGAGACCCCCAAAACTGGAAACCAAAGATGAAGCCTTGGGCTTGACCCCAGACACCCGTATGGGTGACTTGTCTTTCTTAGAGTTGCGACCCCTTGTGTGGTGGGTCTAAAGGGAAACCAAAGGGAAAACCACTCTCTGTTGTTTTTTTTGGGGGGGGTCCCCAACAAAGACACCATGTTACCTGGCACAACATGGGCAACATTGATAGCCAGGTGTGGTTCTTCTTGGCAGGCCCCCTAGTCTTGACCGATTCACAACACACCCGCTTACTCCGCTCTGCTCGTTTCGGTGAGTTGTGCCCACCAGTCAGAGACGTGAGATGAACTGGGAACAGCAATATGCGGCCATGAATCACAATGAAAGATGTGGGAAAATAGTGAACAGCTATGCACCAAGATAGCCATTAAGCCGTCGAGCCTCGGTATGTGTCAAAATTGCCTTAAGTGTGAACCAGCCTGAATATCCTGAACAGGCCCCCTGGCTTCAGGGAAGAAATCTGGAGATTGTCCTTGTCCCCCATTGACCCTCCCAAACAGCAGCTTTCCCTCCCCCCTTTTTTACATGGATGACTGGGGGTCCCTGAAACAAGTTTCTCAAAAAGGAACCGAGGGCATCTCCAGTGGCGAAGCTGGGATGAGGTCGCCTTGGGTCTGGGAACTAAATCCCAGCACTTAAAACACAGCCTCCGTTTCATGCTGAACGTCTGGGAACTGAATCCCACTTAAACGCTTAAAACCAATACCCTGGTTCCATGAACACTCAACTTGAACAAGCTGGTGTCCATCAAAGGACTTCTCCCACACACCTCCATGGGACTTTCGAGAGGCTCGATTGGCTTCTTCTAGCCTTACTGCTCTCTGATTGGCTGACTAAAGGAGATCACCGGCAGTTGTTGGAATGGGTTCAAAAACAAAAAATGACACCATTTCCATGTGAAAGGCTCCATCTAGCGCGCCCCCGAACCTCCAGTAGCCAAGAACAAAACATGCTGAACTTTGTAGTTGGCGGATCTCACAGGAAAAACAAAACCCAACCCCCAAGTCCAAATTAAACAAATCCTGAACTTGGACTTGGGAAAAAATCCACAGCGACCAGAGCTAGGCTTCGGGGTTTTACCTGGTTCCGTTATGAGTTGGGACCACTCAACTCGTCGGGGGGCTCAGATGCCCAGTGGCTATAGGAAAAAAGGGCACTCTTTTTTTGTTGGTTGAGTTTAACGGGGAACCCCCACCCAAAAAAAGGAAAAAAGGGCACCACTGGGCAACAGCGGGGGGGTTCTGAAGCCCAGCGCCAGGCCTTTCAGCTTGGACACATCCAGCAGGGCTTGGTACTCTAAGAGCTGCTTCTGGCGCATGGAGGGGCCCTCCACCTGGCGTCGCTTCGCCCCGAGTCGCGCGCAGCTCGTCTTTTGCGGTTGGATGCGATTGGATACTCAGTTGCCCAAAGAGCCTGGAACTGAAAGGTTAACAGTCATGACTAAATATGGACCAACGTGGGAAAACCAAAAGGTCAAAAGGTCGGCTTTGAACAGCTCAGGATAGGGACGAATCAAACCTGGGAAGGTGGTCTAAAAATCCACCAGATTTGCTGCACCAGGTGCGATTCGGCTAGCGATTACTTCTGAGGCAGGCAAGAGGTGGTCTACCCAAAGACTCGCAAGGTAAAGAATTGAGAGGGCAGATATCCGCGCCCATTTCTAGCTAAAGCTGTCCGGTTTTGATGGCTCAAGGAAAGGGCGGTGGAGTTGCCCAGAGTGAGGTGCCCTCACTTGAGCGGAATGTCAGCAAAAGTCTAGACTTGTCGGAGAAAACCCAAGCACAAGACGGGAAACAATTGGGATTGTTTGAAAGAGAGTACCCTTGTCAGGGTTGGTTTGAAGGGAAACACGGGTGGCAAGCCATCATTTCTGGGGTACGTTTTCTTTTTTCTTTTCGACACACACACACACACAACTCCAAACCCAGTCTTCACTCGCGTTCACAAAGCCCAAGACTGGAGGAGGCCTTGGTAAGACGTCCTCAAAATCACCTGCTGCGTGCTAATAACTTCTGCCAAAAAGTAACTTTGAGAACCCCTCAAAATGTTCTTCACAAGCCTTGTAAATTCCGAACCAAGAAGCTGCAACCGCCAAGTGTCCGGGCCCATTCAAAGTGACAACCGGCATGCTACGCGTCAAAAACGTGGCTCCACAATTGACCTGCGCGCAAGAAGTGTGATGTGTTGACAGTTGAGCCACATCAAAAGAGACCGATCGGAAATAGAAGGGAACCCATCCACCTCAAAAACACAACCTTGACAGTCTCCGAGCATCACTTCAGTGGATCCCATCGACCCAGTCGACCCAGTCGACTCCGATCCAATTCCCCCGGTGCCTCCGGAAGTGCGCCCAGCTCCTTCGGAGGGGGCAAGACCTGAGGGGCGAAAACCTACGGCTTCCCACGTGGCTTGGAGCTGCTCCGGGGGGTTTCCAGGAAAACCCTCCACCAGCAAGAAACAACATGCTGCGGTGTTGCCTCCGAAAGGTCGTCCGATCCATCGCC